TTACCTTGAGAACCTAAATTTTAAAAAGAAAAGTAACTAGCTTTCCTGGAAATTTAGAAGAACCAATTAGGAAACACAGGTTAGTCAAACGAATAATCCTACTGAAAGGAGGTAGACAATTACGTAGTCTATCTTTCAAATTTAAAGGTGTTTTAATAAGAACAACTATTTACTGTGGTTGGTTTTTTGAGATTGATAGGCTCTCTCCTCAGAGAATAATTGCTGTAGTAGCAGGAAGTGTTGACAGTTTGGAACTTGAAGTTATTCTGAACTATTTTCCTAATGTATTCTGTCAAAATGAATGAAAACAGAACCAAGAAATGGTATAAACACTCAAGTTTTAAAAGCACGCTATTCATCTAACTGTATTTTTAGCAGTGACACTGTCAAGATTCATGAAGTACTTTATAATGTGTTTGAAACTCAGGCTTCCATGCTACAATATTAATCTCTTGCTACCTCTGGCTGGGGATCACCCTGCAGACGTCTCTACCTCTTGTCTGAATCTCTTCAGCAACTCAGACTTGCACACTCAGCCACCTGTTGACTTCTTAGCTGTGTGACAAGAGCAGGTAAGTCTCTCTCCCCTCCCCTTCCTTTCTTTCTTAGTCTCCCATGCAGAAAATGATGGTACAAATCACTCAGGAGCTCAACCCCAATATCAGTGGAGTTAGGCCAGGTGTGATAGTGCATGCCTGTAATCCCAGAACTCAGGAGGCTGAGGCAGGAGGATCATTGTGAGTTCGAGGCCTGCCTGGGCTACAAAGTGAGTTCAGCGTGAAGTACAGGGTGCGAGCTTGTCTCAAAAAAAAAAAAAAAAAAAGTGAAGTAATTGTTGGTTTCTCTTCCCTTCATCCAGGCTGCAAGCATGTCCTGTTTAACATATTTGTATTGACTATTCCTTGCTTTACTATCAAGTGTTTGATTTTAATGATATATTTAACTTCTACAACACGTTATAAATATATATGCATATCTAGCTAAATAACTACTATAATAAAACAAATACGTACACCATTTCCACAGATATCATTCCCCCTAAAAGTTGCCAGAGCTTTTATAATTTACTCTTTTCTCAATAAGCCTGAACACATTACACTATTATTGCTAACTATATTCTTCATGTTGTACATCACAAGTTGCCTTTTACTATATATTTCATTGTATATTTTTTATATGCAATTACACAATGAAATTTCATTTTCAAGTGTCTAAATATTTTGGAAATATGCTTTATAAAGAGTGCTTACATTTTCACAGTTACGCTTCTCCAGCACACTGATCTAATGCTTGGCTTCTGGAGTTCCAGGGATTTTTTCGAAATTTCTTTGTACTATGAGTCAAAACCATTCTCTCCAGGTCTCTTGGGCTTCCTGAGGGTTCTCAGGCACCGCTGCGCAGGCGTGAGATGAGACCCCTGCTCCACGTCACTGAGAGCTGCTTTGCCCACCTGTTTTAGCGCTAGATTAAAAACTGGGTCTCTGAAGTAGATTCTTTATGGGCTCATCTAAGGGTGTAGCATTACCCACTAGAAATATGTCAGAATAAAAGAAATAGAACCCACCAGGGCTTCTTTCTTGGACAAAGGCACAGGTTGAAGAATGAGGTCCTAGCGGGTGAAGGCTGGGGGCTCTGCACACCCGCTCCTCACCAGGAGGCAGCTTGCTTAGCCCTTGAGGCAGCTTAAACTGCTCTCCAAGGTGAAGGAGGCCACTCACACATGGGTTTTTGTTTTGCTCTGCGCGATGCAGCAGGGTTGGAGTTTTCTTTTTCCCACAGGCAGAATTTAGCTTTTTTTTAGAAAAAAAAAATTTTGAGTGGCTATTTAAGGAATGCCTCTGTTCACTGGGCACTGGATTAGCAGTCAGAAGGGCCTCTGCAGTTCTGATTTTAAGTCTGGTTTTAAGTGTGTATGTTCCATGCTAAAGTAGCTAGGAAAAAGGCACAGTGTCTGTATCTTATTCTCAAAGGTTTCAGAATGCAAAGTCACACATGCATTACTTAGCTCTACACACACGTAAGAAAAGCATAAATAGCAAACGTGGCAAAAAAAAAAAAAAAAAAAAAGACCGTTTGGGGAAACTGACAATTCTTCTTATCATATTTCTTACAATTAAGGAAATAAAACTAAATTTCCAACTTGATCTTTTTTAAAGAAAGGAATCTTATCTGCTTGAAAACTTCCTAAGTATGTCAACAAGATAGTTATAAATTCACAGTTCTACTGTTATGAATTGCCTCGATCATGTGAGCTTAGATTTTTCCATATAAAAACTTATGAACCAAAACATTTGATAACATTTTTTCTAAGATTCAGAATAGACAGAGCATAGATACACATGGAGAAAATATAAAGTAAAGGTCAGTCATTTAAGATTTCCTAATTTTTACCTTTGGGTTGAATAACTATAGAATAACTCTTTAATTTATTATTTTTGCAGTGTCTCGTGTGGAATGTTGAATGCAACTTGAAAGCTCGATCTATTTGTTCATATGTTTAAGACAAATACAACATGTTACAGTACTGTGGCTCATCAGCTAAAATGCCTGCTTTGAACAGAACATAATTTGTTTAGGAGATGAAAATGATCAGTATGGAAAAGAATCTGACAGAAATCAAGAGCGGAAATAATATACTCATAGTAATGTTAATGAAGCATTAAGTCAAAAGATGATGCCTGAAAATAAAAATTAAATTCCAGTAAACAGCACAAATAAGCAGAGGATTTATAAAGATTAACTGAGCTATTAATTTTTAATTTTTTAAAAAGGTAAAAAAGGTCAAAAGTAATAAGTCCAACTCTTACTAGTAACATTAAAAACTTCTATTAAAATAATGCCTTGGCTATTTTAGTTCTCAAGATTGGTTTCCAATTCGATTACTCTCATCTATATTTTTTTCTTAAATGCACAAATAAAAAAACAAGTCATAAAATCCTTAACTACAAAAAGAAACATACCTTGAAGTTTAGTATATGTTATTTTTTTCTGAAAATGAAAAATTAAGAAGAAAAAGTATCATATTATTTGATAGGAGAACTTTACTTAGGAAAACGTAAACATAGTTCTCATACTTGATACTCTTTGAAAAACTATTCAAAGTGACTTTAACTGTCTCCCTGAGCCAGTGGCTCATATTTGGAGTGTTGGTCATATTTCTGTCTGCTTCAAACCAATCTTCACTAAAACTCTTCTTATGAGATGTGGAAAGGATGAGGTTCCATACTGAAGAAATACAACTCATGGTTTTATGCTTAAAAATTAACCAGATATACTGAGACACGGCCATAACACCCTGAATATTTTCTAATGCTGAGATCATCCTTAAAGAAAATTTCAAGTAGGTATCTCACATTTTGAAAACATTGGTCCACTGAAGTAGTTTTAAGAAAATACAAACGTAGCTACTTGGAGTTAATTGTAATGAATATGAAACAGATTTCATAGGGATAATATGAAAAGGGGGCTGCTAATTTTGGTCACAAAAAAGTGGGTTATAGCTGCAATGAACTGAGAGCAGGGTTGTCTAGAGTTATGAATGGATTGCAGAGTAATAATGCACAGGTTAGCATTGCTGTGGGTTCCTCAGTTTCTAGCTTATTTTTTATTAGAGTTAGGTTTGGAACATTATTTCTTATACAACTTTTAAGAGGGCACTGTTTTAAGATGCAACATTTTTATTTTCCTTTAAAATAAACTGTTTTCATGGTGATGTGGAGAATCGATTTCCTCAACTTGTATGTGTTCTTCAAGTGCAGGACTTGCTAATGTAAGCACTGCTTGGATGATACTTTTGACCAAAGTATGGCCACTAATCATCTGCATTTTCTATTTCTTCCTCTTTTGCAACTTATAGCTATATAATTTCATATCTGCATTACCAAGTGCCTGGATTTTCCTACTCATTTTAGAACTGAATTTGTAAAAAGTTACTACTGTTTCATTACTTGCCACCGTATCCTGATTGTCTTCTATAGAGATTTTTAGCCCGCAACTAGTTTTCTGGAGTCTAGATCAAAAAGTATGAAAAATCACAGAATCATGATCATTAGCTTAAATGATAGATTAATTCAAGAGTGGTGAGTGGACTATCAGTCCTTGTGCTATGAGACTCTGCTCTGAAATAATTTGTACCCTCTGTTTGCCAGGTATACATCCAGTTGGTATATATAAAAAGCCTCCCTTTTCCACTTTCAGCTTTCTTTCTTTGTTTTTTTTTTCTTCTTCTAACAAGAATGCTGGCATATGACTTACCTCCAGGAATAGCCCAGAACTGATGCTCTCAGTTTAGTAAGGAGAATTACATTATATTTTCCTCTTTTTTGGAAGTACTCTTTCCAATTTCTGCAATCATGACCCCATAAGAAATAGATGATTTCAATAAAAATGAAAGATAGCTTTGTAGATTGTGTAGGAAGGAGCATATTTACATTAAAATTATGTATTTTCAGTCTAAGCTGTAAGAATTGCGTTATCTACAAGAAATCCCTTTCTTTGCAAAGAAAGGTTTTGTGTGTGAAACACAGGTCTAATTAAGACACATGCTTGTTTATTTCTTAGGCTGAGAGGATTTCCGAATAATTGCTGTAATTCGTAATAATGGTGGAAAATATCTGTACAATTTATGTATTGGAAAATGCCTGTATTAAGTGTTATAAAATATACTGAAAATTATCCAAGAGAGTTAATGAATGCATTTAAAAATTTTCAAGCTACAATTCTATTTATGTCTTTATCTCTTAGTCATTTTTGAAAATACATCTTCTTTTCAGAAAAATTGATCAGATTAACTTACATGGTGAAATGAACAAAACTGCAACAAAAAAATTAGCTCTTTATATTGCCCTATTAACAGTTTATGCAAACTACTTATAAGTTTTCAAAAGAATACTTTCCCAATCTTGTATTTAATAAATTATGACATTCCTGTCTGAAGCACAAACACATGTGCCCACTCTGCCTTGCTTTATCCAAAACCCCTGAGAATTCTGTGTACTTACGGAAGCACAGTTTTCAGACTTGTCTTCCACAAAACCAATCTGGCAGGGCGTTCTCTGATTCTGTAACCAGTAGTCTGTGGACTCCAGCAAGCTATTGCTGCGGAGAACCTGGGGGAACCAGAAAACCTTCTCAGTGCTTATTCGGTGAGCCTCTCTATTCAAACAAGCAGCTCTCTTCTAAAAAAAAATCCTGGAGGTGTTTGTTCTTTTCCTCAGAGCATCTGGATAGGAAGAAAAAAACTTCCGGGGTAATTGCACCACTAGACAGTGCAACATATTCCATCAGAAATGGCTTGGAACAATACATTGTTAACACTTGTTCCTTCTTTCATCAGGAAACTTCAATGCATGTGTGACTTTGGCAACATTTCCAGTCAAATGGTTTGCTGGGGAGTGCCCAGTCCGCAATGAGAATAAAACTTCACATACTATTAATGTTATTTCACAGTGTGAATGTTTTGTTTGTATTCATTTATTTATTTGAGACAAGCTCTCTCTATATAGTATAGGCTGGCCTTAAACTTACTTCTGTACTTCAGACTGGCCTTTAACTCATGGCGATCCTCCTGCCCCAGCCTCTGAGTGCTGGGATTACAAGCATGCACCCCTGATCATCTTACTTTGTATCTTTTAATAGTTTCTCTTAACTTCTGTGCCATTGGCTTTCAACACTGCTAACATAGGTATGAAATAGGGCACAAGACTAGAACACCAGAGATAGTATGTCAGGTTAAAAATGATTAGGAATCACTCCATTATCTAACCACTTTCTAGTTCGAAATAGTATACTAAAGCAAAAAGGTTAACTATGTGCAGTAACAAAGCTGAATATGATTTGGAAATGCTTTGTTTTGGGGCTTGGATTTTGAAGCAAGAAAGCAAAAGCATATTTCAGAAGCCACATAATTTGAAAATGCAGTGTTATAAATGACCATATAATCCAGCTTCTAAAGGATGTTAGCACTATCCAATTATTGCTAAATGTTTTTCATCTTACTCATTATTCCCAATACATGCCATGGAACTCTATTACAGTGCCACTCTGTTAATGCCTGGCTACCACCTCCACTTAAACACTGTACCAGATTTAATTAATTTTGTTAAAGCTACTAAGTTAGAATGACACTTCGATTACATTTCATTTGTACAATAAAGAAACTGTCTTATTTTGTAAAGATAGAAATATATTATTTGTGTCTCTAAATAGAATTATAATTCTGACATATTTCTTTAACACTCATTTTGAACGACTGATATTATTTATAAACCTTTCCTTGCTCAATGATTATCATTGCCCAGATATGATAAATTCTCATGTCTTTTCCAAAATAATACAAGCGGGCAATTGAATAACGAATTTAAGCTGTTACTATAACTACATTACGTAATGATGCTAAGTCATGTCCTTTGTAGCTCTCAAGTGCCCTGAGTATGCAGTGGCACTTTCCAATGGCTATGTGACCTGTGACAGACAGCACAACGGAACAGTGGAGCAGCAGATGGGCTAGCACAGCTCTCCCAGGTCAGACTTCAGGAAATCTGGAAGTGCAGTAACATTGAACTTACATTGTTCTCACTCAAAGATTTATTCTGTTTGGGAAAAGAAATGTTTTTTCAGGAAAATATGTTAACAGCATGTTTATTATTTTTAATTTGTTATTTTAAAACTAAATATTTCCATTTTTGATGTGCTGTATGGAAAACTTCAATGCATACATCCCATATAAACAAAAGCTCTTTAATCCCTGACAAGATGTTTAAGTTGCAAAATAACTTTTATTAGAATGTTCTGGGACTTGCATTACAATACGTATATTTTAACTTTTCACTGTAATCACTATGGTATAACGTAGGAATTATGTTAAAGATAAGAGTCTTTAGAGAAATTGTCATTTTGAAGATGAAGTACATTGAGGTGCAGACATTTTGGAATTTTGCCCCAAATAGTTCAGAATTTGATTTTGGATTTGCTCTCGAAGGTCCCGTCACACAGCTGCCTTTCAAACTATGTCTACTTTGTGGTGTGTTTCTGAAAAGCTGTATATATCTAATTGTTGTTCATAGAATTGAATTTTCATGGATTTCCATTTTAAAATGATGTTTTAAAAATATAATTCCAAGGAGACATTTTTTTCTATTATAAACTTTCTTTGTATTGGAAATTAATATAATTTAACTAATCCATTTGGCAAGTATCATTAGCATCTTAATTTCTCTAAGGAGTACATGACTTTAAATCTGTTTCAGTTAATATTAGACACACTTATGTCACTGAAGTTCTGCTCCTTCCCTTACTTTGATCTCTAGATTTGAGAATTTCCATCACTTAGGGCAATCATTATGCCTATGTCTTGTGAACATTAAGAGATTTAAAATGTGAGTACCAAATGAACATACTCTATAATGCAGTTTAATAAATCTTCTAACAGAGTCCCTCCTTAGTCATTTCAAATTTCACTTCTCAAAATCAGGCTTTGGATCTTGTCTATATCTGGAGGTATTCAGAGCATAATAATATTATGCTTACAGCAAAAATCGAAACAGAAAGAAAACAACTTTCCTGGAAGTGTCTGCGTCATTCTTGTCCTGGGTCATCTGAGCAGTGGTCACAGAGCTCAGGCACATTTCATTTTGGTTTTTCAGGACAATGTTGGGCTGGGTCTCCACACTGGAGTGAAGTGGAGTGGAGGTGGTGGCAGCCACCAGCCACTCAGAGTCCCACAGCCCAGGAAGGGGACTCTGACGGTAAGACTGCAAAGAGCAGAGCTGGTTTTCGGTCAGGTTTCTCCTCCACTCCACTTCACTAACCCAAAGAAATCAGCGTGAAATTGTAGTCTGGCAGCTCTTCTACTTTAAAGGTATTACTTTTTGTACTTATTTTAAAAATAAATACTAAGAAGATACAAGGATCCTATCTGCAGACTAAAGAAAAGTTCCAGCGCCTTTGGACTGGCTCTTCCAGTGGGAATGAAGCCTCCCCTGGGGCTGTGCCACAACCCTGCCCTGTTGAATGTCTTCCCCAAGGCACTTCTCTAATTGGGAGGAAGCGGAAACAGCAGATGAGGAGAGGAATTTAAAACAAAACCTGACTCTTAAGATGGTTAAGAAATATTTTGAAGAGCATTTCTTCGTTGAAAGCATTCATTTATTGTGTAACTTTAAAAGTCTGTTTTATTCATCATAACTAAGAGGTCATCTGATTATGTCCATAATTAAAATACATTTCCTATTCATTTCACTAATAGCTAGATTATTATTTACTTAATATTTCTATCCTTTGATTATTGATCAAATAGCAGTACACTAGAACTCTCTGAGTCAAGGTCTTCATATATAATATCTGAAATGAGTGTCTGGACTTGTGGGCAGAATGAAAAGATATATATATATATATATATATATATATATCTTAGCTAATGTACATACGCATTCATAAAATAGTGCTTGGCAAACAATAAGGGCTCAGTAAACATTCGCTACCATAAAAATTATTATTTCCTTCATGGAAGCTTGGACAGGCTAATCATTTGTCTTCTTGCTGTAAACTGAACATTTGAGCTGGGGTCCTTGCTTTGCCTTAAACCTAGATTATGCCCCCAAGCTTTATGTGTTCAGAGGTGGGCTTTTGAAAGACCACTGGATCAAGGGCAAGCTGTCTTTGTGGGTAGATCACTACGGGGAAGAGTCCCTAGTGCTGTGTTCCACTGGGAGGTGGGGAGAGGAAGCTGACATGGGGGTGGGTCCCGAATGGGTTTCCTCCATTCCTGGCTGCCTCCTCGATACCATGAAGTGAGCAGTGTTCCCTTGATGGGCTCTTTCACTCCGCCTTTTCTGAGTTACAGCTGGCTGACTATGCACCAAATGCTCTCACAACAGTGAACAAAATTAAATTTCCCCTCTCTTATATTACAGGTGTTGTGTATTTTGTCCTAGTGAGGAGAAAGCCCTTGAGATGCTCCCAAACATCAAAGCATTCAAGCTCCCAATATCAAAAGATTACACAGCATGTTAATGAAATTTCCTGCTTTCTCATGTTTGGGGTCCACCGTGTCCTTGTCTATGCAGTCACCAGCCTGAGGGCCCCGTGTGGGTAAGTTCCCTACTGGCTCTGGGTCTCAGTTTGCCTTTTGTAAAAAACTAAGTCAAGCACTTCCGCACATGCATCACGTAAGTTCCCTCCTTCCTGGTCCACACCTCCTCTCTTTCTCCTCTTCCCACATGCATTAAGAATCAAACACACAAAGAGAATAAAAATGCAAGCTTTAATAAACCACTTAATATCAGATGTTAGTCAATTCTAACCTGTGAAAAGCGCTGTGTTTAATGGTTTGGACAAATGATTAGAAAAAGAAGTATGCTTGAAGGAAGAATACGTGCTTGAGAACTTAATGATTTTTGAAGCTTTATGAATATAATCCCCCTGCTGAGAGAGCCATTTCTGAGGTGGAAAAGAGAGAAAACAATTCACCAGGCACTCAACGGCTCACTTATTTATCTGCTGTTTTTAGTTCCAGACTTACAGATTTTAGATGAAGAGCTAATAATGAATGCTGTATATTCACAAATTTGAATTCATGTCATAATTTCTCTTAAGATTTCATGGATCTTCTAATAAGGATGAAAGACTCTTCTGTACCATGCTAGTTACTTTTCCTTTGAGAGAGAGAAGTGAGGTGCAAAAATTTAGCACGGATATAAAACAGGGAGTGGGAAATAAACCCTCAGCAAACTCAACACATCCCTAAAGTAGTTTAGATTGGAGAAGACTGTTGTTTATGGACGGAAATAGAAATCTGGAGGCAGAATTATAATTCTATATCATCCCTCCTTTACCGAGTGAACTTGGGCACATCACTTACTTCTGCGGGGCTCAGCTTTGTACCTGTTACATGAAGCAACTGAAACCACTTTTGAAGGCTGCCTCAATGATCAAATAAAAAAATGATTGCAAAAGGCTCAAGTTTTAACATAATAGGCAGTAGGTACATGCCTGCTACTGGGATCGAAGGGCAGTAAACTTTAGACAATATCTTTTCCACATTGATTTTTTTTCCATTTCTACAGTTTTTGACATTTTTTCTTCTTTTGTGCATTGTTTGTGATATCCC